CTTTGCCATAGTTAAGTCTGGATACAGTTGCAGACTTAAAGACGCTACAGATAGAGAGCAATGAAAATCTGATGAAGCAATCCTTTTGTTTGGCTTAGAGTCCAGAAGTAGATTCCTCCAGTAGTGCAAATGTGTACCATCTGGTTCTCAAGAAACTATTTTAGTGATTTTGGCTTTTAAGCTGAAGTATCTATACAATGTTATTAGCAGAAATGAGTGGAGAATAGGCCAAAGAAAAAATGATAGATCCCTGCCACCTCCCTCCCAATAACTCACTGCTTGTACCTCTTTTCACTGGAACAAGTGTCAGAGTAATAATGCACAAGTGCGAATCTTTCCTTGTTCTTCTGACATCCTATTTGTATCCTCTACAAATATTTAATATATAACAGGAAAGCTATTTTAAAAGCAGCAAAATTCATTCCATTATCTTCCACCAGATTCAACTTCCAGAAAATCTTGGAGTTAAAAGGTGGATGGGTTGAGAAAAGATGTAGTAAACTTTGCTCTAAGATTAGGCACTAGTAAATTGACCACTTTTGCCAATACTAATATGATGAAAATGGGGCAGAATGCAGCAAATGGGTTGATACCATTTTGAAAGCATTGGGTAAACCAAGCATGGAGAAGGAGATATTCAACAAAAATAAAATGTGAGATGATGGAAGACTGTTCTGAATTTTAGAATGAGCATTTGAACCCAATTCTGACCAGCTGCATTCAAGAATACAGGTAGTCCTCGCTTAACGACTGTTCGATTAGTGACCATTCAAAGTTACGACAGTGTTGAAAAAGCTACTTACGACCCATCCTTACACTTATAACCATCACAGTGCCCCTGTGGTCATGTGATTGCAATCTGCGTGCTTGGCAACCAGCTCACACTTATGATGTTGCAGCATCCCAGAGTCACATGATCACCATTTGTGACCTTCCCAGCCAGTTTCCAGCAAGCAAAATCAATGGGGAACTATGTGATATGCTTAATAAGCACATGATTCACTTAATGATCACGTGATTCACTTAACAACCATGATGATTCATTTAACGACTGCTGCAAAAATGCTGTAAAATCGGGTACAGTCACGTGATGCCTCGCTTAACGACTGCCCCGCTTAACGATGAATTTTCTGGTCCCTATTGTGGTCATTAAGCAAGGACTACCTGTAAACTATTAGGAAGCTGAAGTTCCAGATCTGAGTTCTACATACTGAACAGAGGTCATGGTGGGAGCTACTTCCATAAGAAATGTCAGGGGAGGAGAGGACAGCACAAAAGCATACTTTTATCTAATAAGCATTTGTTACGAGAGAACTAAGGAATGGGTAAGATCTAAGAAGAGATTAGCCCCATTCACATGGTTGCAGTATTCAAAGAGGCATGGGGCCACACCTAAGGAAAGACATTCCAAATGATCTTGCTCCACCAGTCACACATACATACAGATTCACTTATCACCCTAGACCATAATATTGTCTGATTTTGAAGCCAATTAGGAACCCAACATTGTGATTTACTCAATAAACTATTAACCCTTATTATGATGTATGAACCAGTCAGTCTGAATTTATCAGTGAGTTAAATCATAATATGGTTTATTTGGTTTGGGGTTTTGTAAATCATAGTCTATGGAAGAAGTGCACAATCTGATATTCCAAGGCTACAGGCTGTCCCAAAAATTTTAGATGCAGTTCCTAGAAAGCTCCAAATGTTGCTATCAAATTCTAAGCTTTGATATGACAAAAATTGGGAAATAATTAGGAACCTGACTTGAGAATAATTTTATTATCTGTATTTAATTTTATTATGTTTTTTGTCCTGGTCCACCTAAAGCTTTTTGCAGTGAGGGCCCTGGCACTAGACTCAAAATACTCTCAGAGAAGAAAAAGTTATATATCCTTCATTTTTATTATTTAACATTACATGAATCAGGCCATTTTGGTTTGTTCAACAGTTCAATAGTTACAACAAGCCATAGCTTAGTACAATGTTCAAAATCAGCTACTGATTGAGAGGTATGGAGTAAGTATAGCCAAAATCAAACTTGACACTCTAAAAAATGTCAGAAGATCAGTGTTGATCTTAAGTGTTTTTCCATCTGTTGTGTTATTTAAGAAGGAGTCAAGTCAATAGTTAAAACACAGAATGATGTCATGCTAATCTTTGTAGCTTTATAGCTGTGTTAGTACCACAGCTTCACCAATATTATGGGCTTCATTACATTACAAACCCTGTACTCCACATTGTATATTTCTGCCTCTCCCCTTTCTCCACCCATGTTATATTTTATGATGTAATGACTTCCCCCTTGATATAGATTGTATTGCACTTTATCTACAATGTAGCTCAGGGTTATGTTGGCTAGGAATTATAGAAGGTGAAGTTCAACACATCTAGTCAGCACTAGGTTGGAGAAGGCCATCTTAGATTATCTGCTAAAGTTTTTGCCAATCTTAACTGCTAATATTTGCCCCAATAATTATACCACTTAAATCTCAGAAAAGTCTTGCTTCAATATCCTGAGTTTTTTTATGATATCAGTATGCAGGCATGGAAGTATTCACTCACGTCTTTCTTGTGATGGTCTTTACTGACTGGTGACCATTTGCACCATTCTTTACTCTCTAGCCAAGACCTACTTTTTGTCACCAGTGTAATTTTTGACCCATGATATCTTTTCTCTCTCTCTTCTACCTAGCCTCACAGAACTTTACCTTCTTTGTATTTCAAGGGTACCCCAATTTTGCCCCTGAATTCCCTCATTCCCCTCAGAAGCACATGAATCTTATACACATTTAGCCTTAACACAATAAAAATCTCAAGGCTGGGTTAAAACAACAACTCACCCAGCCCACAGAGCTGAAAAAAGGAAGTAAACATATACAGGAAATATACAAAGTACAGTCTTTGTCAAACAGCAAACCAGTAATAAACAAAACTACAGCTACAAAACACTACAGTAAAGGGATTCTGGCTTTTTGACTGAATGCAGGTATGTAACTTGTCCTGTTCCAGTCTGGCTTTATCTACCATGCTAAATGAAGGTAATCCTGCTGTGTTCTTCTCTAAATAAATTCCAAATAATCTGTTCTTCCATGAAACACATTTCCTTTTCCATGGGATCAATAATGAGTGAGACTGTTGATTCAACCAACCTGTCTCCTCTCCAGTTTTGAAGATAAATGTATAAACAGGATCCTGATACAATGATAGCATCCTGAAAGCAGTGCTATAACCTGATACAGTGGGGCAAAAAAGTATTTAGTCAGCCACCAATTGTGCAAGTTCTCCCACTTAAAAAGATGAGAGAGGCCTGTAATTTTCATCATAGGTATACCTCAACTATGAGAGACAAAATGAGTACTACTGGGACAACAGGGAGTTAGATCACACACATACAGTGGGGCAAAAAAGTATTTAGTCAGCCACCAATTGTGCAAGTTCTCCCACTTAAAAAGATGAGAGAGGCCTGTAATTTTCATCATAGGTATACCTCAACTATGAGAGACAAAATGAGTACTACTGGGACAACAGGGAGTTAGATCACACACATACAGTGGGGCAAAAAAGTATTTAGTCAGCCACCAATTGTGCAAGTTCTCCCACTTAAAAAGATGAGAGAGGCCTGTAATTTTCATCATAGGTATACCTCAACTATGAGAGACAAAATGAGTACTACTGGGACAACAGGGAGTTAGATCACACACATACAGTGGGGCAAAAAAGTATTTAGTCAGCCACCAATTGTGCAAGTTCTCCCACTTAAAAAGATGAGAGAGGCCTGTAATTTTCATCATAGGTATACCTCAACTATGAGAGACAAAATGAGTACTACTGGGACAACAGGGAGTTAGATCACACACATACAGTGGGGCAAAAAAGTATTTAGTCAGCCACCAATTGTGCAAGTTCTCCCACTTAAAAAGATGAGAGAGGCCTGTAATTTTCATCATAGGTATACCTCAACTATGAGAGACAAAATGAGTACTACTGGGACAACAGGGAGTTAGATCACACACATACAGTGGGGCAAAAAAGTATTTAGTCAGCCACCAATTGTGCAAGTTCTCCCACTTAAAAAGATGAGAGAGGCCTGTAATTTTCATCATAGGTATACCTCAACTATGAGAGACAAAATGAGGATGAAAATTACAGGCCTCTCTCATCTTTTTAAGTGGGAGAACTTGCACAATTGGTGGTTGACTAAATACTTTTTTGCCCCACTGTATGTGTGTGATCTAACTCCCTGTTGTCCCAGTAGTATTTCTATTCTGTTGCAAAGGTGATGAGTCATAGAGTAGAACTAGTGAAGCAACAAAAATGCAGGTGTAGTAAAAGTATGGCTCAAGGATGATCAGGCTATGTCTAATATGTTACCAGGACACTGTTCCACAGAACAAGAGGTAGTCGGAATCTAGAGTCCATTGATCAATGAAATTTTTCTGTAGTGGGGCAGACATTATGACAGGCCTGAGAGGCAGAAAAGAAGAAAGTGCAAGATAAAAACAAACACCCAAGCTCTTTAGCTAATATGTACCAGTGTTTGGAAATCCAATACCCTAGCAACCTTCTGTATGGACACTGACTCAATCAGATTTCAGTTTGCAAGAAGACAAACAGTATTTTCTCTGAATACAGATTAGCTGTAAAAATAGGTCACTTCTTTGCATTTTAAGGAGGATGGGCACAAGTTTAACATGTTTCAGATCTGTATTTGAAGTTTGCTGTTATTGTTTTAAACAGTCATATAGTGTGGTTTGGTACTTCCAGGCTACCAAAACTCATAAAACAACCTTTCCCAATAACTTACTTTGAGGCATTTGGGACAACAACTTCCATCTTCCCTAGCCAGTTGGCCATGTGAATGCTGATAATTGTAGTCCAATCTATCTAGCAAACACTAGATTGAGGAAGACCACCACAGGACAACTTAAATGTTTTAACAATTAAAATATTAATGAAGTCTGCAGTTCATGAAACCTTATTCATTAATGACTTACCGATTCTTTTCTAGTTCATTGTGCGTAGACCTGGAAGATAAACCAAGAAAAAGAAATAATTAGACCTCTCTAGTCTAACTCAAAAGCCCATTCTCATAAGCACCTTTAGTGTCTTGCAGATGAATTAGTGGATAATTCCTATCTTTCAGAGGAATTTGGAGAAGACCAAGTTGGACTGATGGCTGCCATAAGCCACGAGCAGTTTTTCATTCCCAGTTATAAGGTTCATATTCAACAACATGACCAACTGTCTACAAAGAAATATGTACCAACTCTTCAACTAAGTCAGCTTTTAATATCTACAGTTGTAACTCTAAATGCAAAGTTCTAAGCTTTACAATTTCTCTTCAGCTCAATATCAATTTGCTTATTGCTTCAGTCACCACTATTCTATGGTATGAAGCAGACCTAAATCACTTTATAAATATGATGCTGTTTATATGGATTAAAAGAATTAAACAAGAAAGAAATGGAAATAAAGGAGAAAGTCCCTCATTACCCAGGATATTTTGTTATATCTACCTACTACAGACATCTATTCATATAGACAGATCAGATCATGAAACCATAAAAAACTATTTAAAAAAATTAAAACTCAGGATTATATGATCCTGTTCAAGCCAATTTAGTAAACTTTGCAAGCAGTCTGCAAATTTCCAAAGCTATTTGCAGAGTTGGTCTTTTTACTGATGTTCTAGTAGTAACATAAAATATAAGAACTGAATTATGTAGAATCTGCCAATCATCAAATTATAAAGTACTAACATTAACGAAAAAGATTTTACTGCTTTAAAAAATATACTGTAAAATAAATTGATCCCAGAATGTCTATTGTTTTGACAAAATATTTCTTTATGAATTATTATCACATTTTCTTGAAGCTCAAATATTGTCTTCCATTATCAGTTGAAAGAACCTTTAATGAAAACATATGATTGTAAAATTGAATTAATGAAGAATTCCAATCTCAATGAGAATTTTCTGTGAATTAATAACTTCTAAAAAATGGCAAGTAATGGTAATGGTAATGGTATTTAAATGGTAAGGAAAGTGATGAAGAAATGCTAAGACACATGTCAAAACAAAAGTTTGGTCTAGCGGTCAAGGCGCCAGGCTAGAAACCAGGAGACTGTGAGTTCTAGTCCCACCTTAGATATGAAAGCTGGTTGGGTGACTTTGGACACTCTCTCAGCCCCTCACCTCACAGTGTGGTTGTTGTGGGGCAAATAGGAGGAGGAAGGAGTATTAGGTATGTTCACTGTCTTGAGTTGTTTATAAAAATAACAAAGGCGGGATAAAAAAAAAGTTTAAAAAAACCTACAAAGAAATTTGAAAGATTAATTAGAATTATTTAAATCTCCAGCCTGGAGCTAGATTGACAGTCAGATGTATCAGATACTCTAATTGTGATGGAGAAATCTGGAAACTGTGTATTGGAAGTGGAATAACTTATACTCCGATAGATGTTAACTACTCTTCCACTGTGTAAAACACTTTAAACTATGAGTACAGCATGCAAGTTTAAAAGAAAAACAATAATACCTGCTAAATTTTATTCCTTAAGTGTACTTATCTATATTTATTTTTTAAATACATTAATATTTATTAATACATTAATATTTATTTATGTATTAATAAGATAATAAAATCAGATTTTAAAAACAATTATCCCTGTACCACATTTACAAGCAGCAATTCAAGAATACAAGCAGAAGGGACAAGTTATTATGTCTCTCAGGACACAGCAAAGAAAAAAGGGAGCACTTCTCTAATTTGGGTTACACTGATCAATCTCAAAAAATCTTTCTCAATTCACTGGCATCTCACAGCAACATCCCTATTCACTTTTAGTTCTGACCTAAAATTCTTGAGGCCCATTGATTACCATAATATTACATATATTTTGTTCAACACTTAGGAAACAATGGTAAAATTATAAAATTAATAAAGCATGTCTATTTATTGTATTCTTTATCATGCATGTATTAATTTTATGCATTTGGATTGTTAAATATTGTGAAGCAGAGAAGATTTTTTTTATATCTGAGAAACACAAATGAAATTATTTTGAACAATATATCAAATGGCAGTATTTAAAGACAAGGAAAAACCCTCACAGTTACAACCATATGTAGTAGAAGCAATCTGTATATAAATCACAATTGTGTATTAATAATTTTATTTACTGTTTGCTCCTGCAGGAAACATTTCTCCCTTTCTGGAGACTCCATTAAGGGCTACAACTCCTATGCAAAGGATTGAATTCCTAGATTATAATAAAACCAGTCATCAAGGTTGAAGCTGAAAGAACAAAGTTCGGCCCACCACTGGGAACAAAATTAAAACAGCAGGGTCTCCTTTACTTCTCACACACAGGAGATTCTATTACTTATCTTCCTTCCATCAAAACACCACAAATGAGGAGGGCTGCCATCTTGTCCTTAAGTTTGTTAATTTATGCTATGATTTAAAACCGTACTGGCATGAAATAAAATAGTATGAACTTTCCCACATAGGAAGAGTGAAAAAGAAAAAAGAAAAACTTCTGCAGCTGCTAAATATATCCTGTCAGACTACTACAAGGAACAATCCTTAAAATAGAAAGCATTTTGAAATACATGTAGTGTTCTCCTTGGTAACTCAAGAGATAATCAGTGTTCTCTCCTCAGAAAATATGCTGTTTTTGTTCCTGCATCTTCGTAATACATTTCTAACTAAAACTAAAATTAGAACTCAACAATCCTGCAAAGTTGTCTGTGCACATAATCATTCAATAAAATACAATAGTGTCTTCTTGTCAAGAGACTAGATTAGCCATCTCCAACCTGATGATGGTCTAATCATCTCATAGTAGACGTCAGTTGGAGATGATGGAAGTCCAGCACCCTGATAGGTGCCAGGTTGGAGCTATCTACTCTAGTAATATGCAAGAAGACAATACTTCACTTGTAAGCAGTATTAGTTTCCAAGCAGACAATCTAGTGTTTCCATTTCATAAACCAAGCTAAGCTTCAGTGCTGTCATTACTCTTCCTTCCTGTTTTGTACCAAGCTACTACAAATTCAAAAGCAAAGCTTCATTAAGTAAGTTGTTTAATAGCCATCAGCACAAAGAAAACTTTCAAGTAAGTCACTCCCTGCAAATAAGATTCTTAATCTTTGGGTGTAGCACTAACATGCTTCATATTAAAGATGGCGGTCTAATGAATAAGCTGGGAGCATCTGACAGTAGCAAAAAAAAAAAAAAAGAATATTTGAATCAACAGGAATTATCTGTAGGAAAGTAAATATAATTTACATAAATTACTAACCTAAGGATTGCTCCATGAAATAAATAATGACAACATCCATAGTTTACCCTACTATAGCCAAAGGGAAAGAAGAAATAAAGCTCCATTAAGAAGGGTTCCTATGCCCTCTCTCATGTGCAGCCTTAAGCATTCTTAAAAAAAAGAAGTCCCCATTTTTTTGTCTGGTAGATTTATATCCTACTTCAGGGGCTCAAGATCACATATATAGTACTGTGGCTTGGACCCCAAAAAGTACTTTTCTGCTAATGGAAAGACAGTTTTTGACTTAGCTGAAGAGTACAGTAGGTCTAGTGAAATAAAGAGATGTTCCTCCATTTGAAATCTGAATTCCATATTGTATGCAGTTTATAATTTAACCTGGACCTTGCCATAGAAAGACAGATCTGTTATGCTCAGAGTCAATTTCCAGCAACTCCAATCAGTTATCCCTCTCAGTTTCAGAATAACCCCACTTAGCTCTTTTGCTAAATATGTATTTTTAATAATTCTAGAAACATTAGAGTTCCCACAAGCATACTAACACTTTCTCATTTTTGTGAATGACATTCAAAGAACTGAGATTGCTATGATAATTCATCTATACACAAAAAGCTCTCAATGAAGGGATATATGTTTAGTTTTGGTTCGAAAATACATGAAATTTTGCATAATGGTGGGCAATACTCCACCTATTAAGGTTTCTCTTTTAAAAACAATCCACATATCAAGTGGGAAGCAGCTTAATATTTTTGTATATCAAATAGTTGGCAGAAAAATATTTGTAGAAGAAATTAAAATTAATTAATTAATTTTACCTCTCTTCCTAAATATAGCATTCAAAATGGGGAATAAAGTTATTCTTGGCACGTGTGAAGTGATTGGCAGTGTTACAGAAGAAGCATAAACTACATTTCTATCCTACCACCATACTAGATTCAGTGAGGTAATGGGATTTAAAGAGAAGCAGCAGATTTGGAATTCTAAATCCTGGAACATTATGCAGATACATGGGGCAAAAAAGTATTTAGTCAGCCACCAATTGTGCAAGTTCTCCCACTTAAAAAGATGAGAGAGGCCTGTAATTTTCATCATAGG